ATATGTGAATTTTGATACAAAAATTGTAACAATGACGTAATAGGTTTTAAAATTTATGCATCATTTCAATATTTTGCAAGGAAATGGATTTGTTTCAACTTACTCACATTTAACCATGCAAATATGCCATTTTTATGCTTAAATTAAATCGACATACAAGTAATTTATAAATTCCAACATGATTACGCTTATCATGCAAGGGAACAAGAACCGTTGAAGCCAATGGCAGATTCCAGCAAATTTGAACAGCTAGGGTTCCCCCAAGTTCTGTGAAGACCATCCTATTCATTAAAATTGATATTTGTGATGTTCAAAGTCATCATCATATTGATTGGTGTTTGTTTAGTTCTACTTAAGCTGAAAAAGAGCAATGGGAGCTAAAACTGTTTTTTTTTTGTAAGAATGGGAGCTAAAACTGTTGTAATGTCATATCCATAAAATGAAACAAGAAACAAGTTTTACACAACTAGATAAGTAGATATAGCATTGTCTGGATCAAAACCTCTCAAAATATGTTAAGAAATGTAATTGAAAGATTAACTTCAAACCAGTAGCAAACAAAACGATGAAATCTTTCACACAATAGCATTGGCAGCACTTGCAATTCTAGGCCACAGGTCGGCACACTCCTTTCCAATGGGTCCGGTAATAGCAGATCCTGAGTCAAAAGAATTTCGAATATCAATCAAATCCAACAAGAAAACAGTATACCACTTTCTGCCACAGAACTGAGTTTCATTATGGGCAAAGGGATTGATAAAACCAGCCTAAGATAAGCATACACATAGAAAAGATAACCTATAGTCCTGAGGTTCTACGTCAACTTGGAAGCATAAAGATTATATTTTTTACTACATCGGTGAATGGACACAAGAGCATATTCATCTTTCACAGAATTTAGCTAAAAGAAAAAAAAAACACTTCATTTGAAACCCCACAATTCAATAAGCAACAGTGGTCTAACTGAAACATCATAATAGAATGAAAATAGATTGACTTACCTTTCATTTCCCCCTTGGGGTTGACAATGACACCAGCATTATCTGCAAACAGATAGATAAACCCAAGCTAAGTTTCAAGTTAAAACACACAAATAATACTTTTAAGTAATAATAACCTAAACAAATGGACCAGCAGACAGGTAACATGATGCAATAGATAAACAAAAGCATCATGCTGTTTAAAACTGGCTATTTCCAATTAATCTATGCTTCCCATTAAGAGCAACCAAAAAAATCAAATTAGCTACTCCATTATTAAAAGAAGCAACAAAGAAAAATATGGGGAAACAAAGGAATTGTTTGGATTTTGGACCTTCGAAGTACATGTAGACGCCGTCCTTTCTACGCCAAGGTTTGCGTTGTCGGACAATGACGGCCGGCAAAACCTTCTTCCTCAAATCGGGCTTCCCCTTTTTGACGGTGGCCATGACCATGTCACCGACGCAAGCCGATGGGAGCCTGTTGAGACGCCCTTTGATTCCTTTGACTGAAATGATGTAGAGGTTCTTAGCTCCCGTATTGTCGGCGCAGTTCACCGTAGCCGCCACCGGTAAACCCAGCGACATTCTGAACTTGTTCCCCGCGCTACCTCCCCTCCCTATTGCAAATTAAAAGAAAAGGAATTGCTTAGATCGATCGTGGGTTTGTTAGGTGAGATGAAAAGTGAGTGAAAATTTTACCTCGCTTCGACATTTTGGATCAGCCCTTCTCCTCTCTTCCGTTTGCCTCTTTTCTTGAGCAAGGCTTACTTCTGAATCTTAAATAAAATCTGCCCTAGGGTTTTGTTTGAAAATGGTTCAATAATTCTTTTCTCCTCTACTTTAACCTAATTCACATTTTGGCTCTTATACTTAGGCCTGTAAATGAACTGAACGTTCAGCGAACCGTTCATGAACCGTGCGGCGGGAAGTTCGTTTATGTGCGTTTATTTATTAAATGAACGAACATAAACAAGATTTTGTGTTCGTTTAATTAAATGAACGAACATGAACATAGGTCTCGTTCGTTCATTTACGTTCGTGAACGTTCGGTTATGTTCGTTTATATGCGTTTAGTTATGTTCGTTTATGTGCGTTCATTTATGTTTAACCTAATATTCTTAAATCAATTTTGGTGACCAATTTGTATGTATCTTAAAAATATTAATTAATATGATATTTTGATGACCAACTTCATAATTAACCCAATTTTACAGCCTGATTAAGCGGTAATACAAAAAACCCTAAATCTAAAAACAATATTTTCTCAACTCTTCTCCAACCCGTCATTCAGCTGTTCTTGATTCTCAACTCTCCCCACCCTCCACAATTTTCATTTCTGCAATGATTCGACGGAGCTTCAAGTCTTCAACTGCAACGATTCGACAGAGCTTCATATCTTTCCCTTATTGAACGTGATTTCATAAGGTAAATAATTTGAATTTTTTTTTGGTCTGTTAATTTTGGGGTGTGAATTTAGGGATTTTTTATGGCATCTTGAACGATGTGGAACCCCTTGTACGCCGCTATGAACGGTGCATTCGACTAGTCGATCTTCTCCAACCCACCCCTCGTTGCCCAGTCATCCGCGTTAGAGTTTCCCTTAGGGAGTCCCAGTCAGATTTGCGCTTATATCCTCTAGTGGGTGAAGAAAGTGGCGTGGTCAGTGGAGCGCTGTTGGATATGGCTGCAATGTTGCGGAGGAATGGAAGGAAGTGAGTCGAGGTATTTGAATTGAAACGAGTCAGACTCGGGCATAAGGAAGATGAGGGACTCGCATGGTAGAAAGGTTCGGGGCTTGGGAAAGATGAAGACTGTGGATTGGGATGGTGGAAGGAGAACAATATTAAATTTAACATTTTGTCAAAAATGGCTGCTGACATATTGGTAATTCCGGTCACTACTGTTGCTTCTGAATCTGCTTTCAGTGCTGGTGGGAGGGTTATTGATCCGCATCGATCCTCTTTAGGAACTAAGATGGTAGATATGCTTGTTTGTGGAGCTGATTGGTATCGTCAATACTATGGGTTGAAGAAAAATAAAAACAAGGTATTTTTATGTTTTAAGTTTTATTGAATTTGGTTTTACAATGACTAATATATTTTTGGTTTTTTGATTTGTTGTAGCAAAACGAAGATATCATACATGTTGAGATTCCTTGAAAATGAGGATGAATGAATTGGTATAACCTCGCTAATTTAGTATATTTTTCATCTTTTGTTATAACTCCTTTAATTTAATATAATTTTATTTGTTTGATTTTGATCAGGATGGATGATGAATTAACGACTGATTATGAATGCAAGTTGAATATGTTACGAATATTATTGAAGTTGTTTAGATTTCAAGAAGATTGTTTTGTTGAACAAATTAACTTTAAGACTTTATTATATTCATATAGCTTACTTATGATTTATGTACGTTTTTGTCGTGTTCGAACAAATTAACTCTAAAGTTGTGTGAATCATTTAATATCTTTAAAAGATTGATCGAAATATATGATATCTTCAAACATTTCATCACTGCTAATCAGCTCTTACGCTATTATCACTGTAGATTTGGTTGATTTGCATTGTCGACTATTTTTCATGAAAGAACAATGGAAGGTAGGGTCTCCAACGTTTATGTTCGTTTATGTTCGTGTTCATTTATGTTCGTGTTCGTTTATGTTTGTGTTCGTTTATGTTCGTTTATTTATTAAATGAACGAACATGAACAAACTATATTCCTTAATGAACGAACATGAACAAAAAAAATTTTGTTCGTTTATGTTCGTGTTCGTTTATGTTCGCTTATTTATTAAATGAACGAACATGAACATACATCCGTTCGTGTGCGTTCGGTTCGTTTACAGGCCTACTTATACTAATTGTTTTCTTTACTTTACCCACATACTATCATTTTGTCAATTATTATTTTTCTCTAATTTACCCCTTCCTATGGTGGTTTTTTTTTTTATATTTTTCTGTTCAAATTATTTTTTTCATTTTAAATATTTTTTTTGAATTATAGTTAAAAAAATTGTTAAAGTAGTAAGTTGATGTTTAACTATAATTTAGGGGTCAAATAAGATGATAACCATTTTTTAGTTTGCCATGTCATCGTGTTAACGAGAGCTAACGATGGAGTGACCATGTTATAATAAGTGATAACATTAGTGATCATTTTAAAGACAAACTATTAGTGACCCCAAAGTAACTTTTCAAACCTTGATGTGAAAAAATAAACTTGCACAAACAATAGTGAGTAATGACCATAGATGTAGTTTACCCAAGCATGTATGTGTATATATATATTACTAGAATTCATTGTTGATAGAGTTTGGTTCCAGTCCAACCCCTGCAGTTGCTGCACAGCCCTAACACAAAAATAAGAGAAAACTATATGCTCTGTATTCACATCAAAACAATGGTATGTATGTCTACGAGCTTGTTAGAAACCATGGCGCGGGGGTTAACCTATAAACATCTAATCAAGGCCTACCAGATTCCACTTTGACAAGTTCTAAACCATGCAAAAGCATACCAAAAAATAAGTGCCTTGAGCTGAAACGTATGTTTCTTCCAAAAAAAATCCCATGACAGAGAATCAGTTCATATGGTGATTGTTTCAGATTTCGACCCTGCAACATAGAAAGAAGATCCTTTGTAATCTGTGGTAGTAATTACAGAAATAATCTATGATTTCTAGCATCAATGTTGTCATGGAATCAAACTACAAGTGTATGGATTTTATGATTGCACTTTCAAAGGGTCAGAGCCTTTAATGTACCAAAATTTTATTTATACATGACGATTACTTACTAGTCGAACGTTTCATATTCCTGCAGAAGTTACTGCCACATCTGCACTGGAAAGCCTTGACAGGATGATCAAGATCATCAAAGGCAATACCATAATCCTGCATGCAGAATGTATAGCCTCTTAATAGGGACAGAGGAATAAAAAATGCATGAGCTGATCCTGTTTGCTTCCAATACTGCGCATACGAGTAATCATCATTCGATGTATGAGAATACTCACCCATGTTAACTCTTCAAGCGCATCAACTTCTCTTGCTGTGAAGAAGGCTAGCTGTACACAGTAAATGCTCAATTAGATTTGCCATTGCTGAGATTTGAAGCAAAACAAATAGAACTAGGAAGGTGAAGAAACCAGTATTTCATACGTGATAGTAATGAAGATATGGAGTCTCCACTTCAACCGGAATCTCAATCAAGTTTGCATCTAAGCACCTAGCAAAATAAGAAATAAAAAAATTGGATGTTTTAAAATATAGATTAATTGAAGGTGGTCGGACATTTCTTCCAACAAGTAAATGAGAAACACACAACGAAGAGAGCAAAAGCAATTGGAATCTTTTGAAGACCATAGTAGGCAAAAGTTAAGGGTCATAGAAAGTCTAATACATTTAACATCTATACAAACCTATGATTGATGAACCTAGCAACATTTCCATAACACGTGGCATCCAAACAGAGGGCTTCTTCATCCTTGGAAACTCCCTTCAACCCCCTATAAGCATCCAACAGGATAGGACATGTATGTTTCTTTGTGTCCCTAGCATAAAACTCACAGATGGTGAGTATTTCTCAAAACCCTTTTTATACGTTTTTAAAATAATATGTTTTCAAAAACTATATTATATACGTTTTCAAACACCTTTTTTTAAAAACTATATATTATATGTTTTCAAAAATATTTTCAAAAACTATACTATATATCTTCAAAAACTATTTATATTATATATTTTTGAAATTATTATATATATTATCATATATACTAAATAAAGCCCCTTGAAGTCCCGGACTAAAATTGGTGTTTATACAACTAAAAAAGATATACCAATATTGCCGGTCGACATACAATAAATATTTTTTAAATTACTAAATTTAATTGAACTTTTCACTTTATTTATACTAACTTTTATTATTAATATTTTATTTTCTTGGATCTCGTATTATGACGACGAGATCCACCGGGTATTACCATCAGGTTTTTTTTAAGGGTCAGAGTTATGGTGTGTCGTAATGCCTCTACTACACTTTGCAATTGTTGAGATTCACGCGGTGGATAGTGTGTTGCGACAATTTGGGTCTCATCAACTGATTCCTACGTAAAGTATTAATATGGACGCGCTCCATAAAATTGACATGTGTGGGAAGCATAGCCACAATTGGCCGAGAAAACATGCTGATTACATTGAGCAATGGAATAAATGTCATTTCTCGGTTCCTATATGTAATGATAATACACCCGCCGACCTTGATTTCAACATTTCTCCCCACCTCCGAAATTATGAAGCAAATGGGAAATCGTATTTAACTATGTCGCAAGAGAGGGAAGAATGGGAACAAGGAAAACCCAAATTCACAAAGGCCAAGAAGAAATCATCATATTCATCTTTTTCTTCTACTTTTGTCGATTATTTTGCATCTTAGACCAGTTTTGGTTTTTATCCTCCATATCATGCTTCTACGGAGACTTAGCTCAATTGGGTTGGAGGTTTATGAGATGAAATGCAAAGCACTCTAGCATCTTCGACCGAATATGTGGGTGTGGGTGAGTGTGAATGGGATCATATTATATATGGTCAATAACATATTCAAGTCAAGTTAATGATGACACTGATGATGTCAAATACCACAAGTTCATCACCGTATTTCGAAGGTGTATATCAAAGTGGAGTGATGTTCAATACACCTCTTCAAGAAGCAAACGAAGATGAAGACGAAGACAATCAAGGTAAACGACTCTGACGTACTCGACGAGCCCCACACCATTATTATTCGACAACTCCTTGGCATCGTCTAGAACTAAGAAAATATAAATAAAATTTAGTATCCATTGTATTAGTTTGTAATAAAATTATTTGTTTAATTTTTTTTAATATTATTTATTTATTTATTTATATTTCTTTAAATTAAATCCGATGAAACTCATCACTTCGACGTGACGAGTTTTAACGATTCATTTTTTTAAATTTCAAAAGCTTACAATTGTATAACGAAAACTTTTTTTAAAAATTAAGGCAAACTCGTCACCTCAGCGTGACAAGATAGACAAGTTTTTTTTTTAAAATTTTCAAATTATTTAATAAATGTAAAAATAAAAAAAAATTAATTTCTAATGAGACTCGTTATCTCAAGGTGACAAGTCCTTGTGAAAATATTAAAATATTGGTTTACATGAGGCCCACATATTTAGGACCATTAAAAAATATTTTTAATAGAAGTCATCACCTCGATATGATGATTTTCAAATTTACTATAACAAATACCGTATATTGAAAATTAAAATCTATCTTAACCTATTGGGCCAATTAATTTTTCGCTTAGGATATTGGGGAAAAAATCCTTGCCAGATGCTTGAATTTAGGAAGGTAGCCCACTGAGCTTTCCTTCTTTATTTAGACCTTATTTTATTTGGGCTTCGTTGGTCTTAGCTATTAATTACGATTGTTGAAAATTTATGGTTATTTTTATCAATACTATATGAATATTCAATTTTAATAGGTTTGATTCAAACTCAATTCAAGTTCTAAACAAGTCAAGCGAATTATTTAATATCTTATTTAAAAAATTTTGAATAACTCAAAAAATAATATATTAATTTTTTATTTTTAAAATCAAAACTTTGATAATATTATCATTTATATATTGTTGTTTTTTAAAAATATGCATTGTATGGTTTTCATGTACCTAAGGTTAATGTTCGAGATCGAGTTTGAGCTTGAACCGAGTTTAAAATCGAGCTAAATCTGAAAATGTTTTAAGTTCAAGTTTTTTCGAGCTAAAATTGAGCTTTAATTTTTGGTTTCGAGTTTGAGTCGAACTTAGTAATTTTAAGTTCGCAAGCTTTTGAATTGAGTCGAATTTAATAAATTTTTTGTGTCGAGTCAAATCGAATTCTATAATACTCAAGCTCAACTCGACTCGATTACAACCCTATTATAAGGAATCTTATAAATTGTACACCGTGGGTAATGATTTTTTATATAGAAATCCATTGTTAAAAATGTATGGATTGGAGGGCAATTATTTTTAATATTACTAGTCATTGACTTGTGATTAATAGGAGTGAAGAGCAAAAGGGATAATCCCTTGATGATAGATCATGTCTGATATCTATAGCACTCCACCAACTGGCATATCCAAAACAACATAGTGACATGAAACTAGTAAGATTATTTTCATTTCATAATGAATAAAAGTATGACATTCGACATAAACTGGTGTCACAAGTCCATAGATTATTTATACTGCTGACGTCTAAGAGTATTTTCATAAACACTTGAGTAAACACCAAATAAAACTTTCATAGTGAATCATGTCTAGTGTACTTATTCATGTAGCAAGCGCACACATGTTATCCTAAAAAATCCTATACTTAGGAAAGGAATGGCAATTTCATCCGCATCTAACGAGTTTCGATTCGATCGGATCGATTTTTTTTTAATCGGGTTTGGATCAAAAATTTTTAAGCGGGGGAAGTTGGATCGGGTTGGGTTCAGGTGGAAGGTGAAAATTTTCGACTCGACTCGAGGATAATAATATAATTTCTTGAAAAATATATTATTTTTAATTAAACCCTTAATTTATACCGAGTCGGGTCGGGTCAAATTTATACTTTAAAAAATCTGGTAGGATTAGAGTCCGATGAAGTATTTATATTTTTCGGGTCAGATCTAGTGTATGATATAAAATTTTCGGATCGAATTAGAGTGATGAATGCATTTTTTTGGTTCGGATGATACCGACCAAAAATCCAACTCTAACCCGACCCGTTGCGATACCTACCTATACTTAATACTTCAACTTATGAGATTAATTGCATGCATCCCATACATAGAAATTTAATATATATAATAACTTTTGAGTATTATTGATTCATTATCTCGATAATACAATGATTATAATTATTTTAAGAACCGCAATTTTAATACACAAACATGAACATTTCATAAGTATAATTCCTTATAGTTCCTTACACCTAACGTGTTATCTGCATAAATATTAACTCAATTTATTACTCAACTCGACTCATTATTCGTCACAACTTTTATCTTTCTTACTAGTATGGATGATTACAATGTAATATATGTTCAGAAATTCTTAACCAATTGACAATAGATAAACACATTTTGCACACAACACTCTTTTTTACCGTTAGGGTGACTTCAATCGATTTATCTTTAATAAATGTATGCAAATCTCATAATATTATGTAAAACTTAATATAAACATAAATTAAAAAATTTAACCAAAAAAATCAAACGAATGTTGGAAGATATTCTAAAGTCTGAACTGATTAACCGATTTTACCCGCCCAGCCTCTAAACTGGCACGCCGTTATGTTGGTAACCGTTGGAAGGGAAAAGGCCCCACCAAGAAGAGGTATCTGTGATTAGATTCTTGAATGAAAGAGAGTTTGTATCAATCTCGATGGAGATAAACTTAGCTTCAGCTTCAGCCTAACTTCCATTTAAGGAGCGAAAATCGTCAAGGCATTTTTCATCTGGCATTTAAAGTTAGTCTCTCCAAGAAGTAGGGTTTAAGACACTTCATAGCCTACTTCAATCCGTGGAACGACCCCTTTTTCAATAGCTTTTGGTTCCTACTTCTTTTTGCTGGGATTAAATTAGATTAGATATTCTTTGTGGCATTCTTTTTGGTTTGAGTTCATCTCACTCATCATAATGGCTACTTCCTACCCAGGGCCCTTAAAGGTTTTCTTTTTTGCTTTTATATAGATTTTTCGGTTTCTTCTTTTTGTTTGATTTACTCATGTTATTTTTAAATTTCAGGTTGGTGCATACTTTGTGGGACAATATTATCGAGTGCTACGACATGAACCTCATCTAGTTCATCAGTTTTACTCAGATGCCAGTAGCATGATTCGGGTCGATGGAGATTCCTCTGAATCTGCTTCTTCTATGCTGGTAACATATTCTTGTTTTCTTTGTTTATGCATTTTCAAACCAACTTGCTCGAGCATCAAAATGTTCTTAGTATAGTCTTCTTTTTCGATTTACTAAATTTTTTTTTTCTATTCTCTGGTTTTATCTGATAAATGACTTATTATTTTGTATATGGTATTATCTTTGGTTGTATCTACCTTCAAGTTGACTTGTCTTGTCCTTTTATTTTACTACACACTTATTAATTTATAATTTATTGGGTTCTTTTATCATTCTTTTTCTCTGCAGCAAATTCACACATTGGCCATGTCACTAAACTATACTACAATTGTGATCAAAACAATTAATTCTCTTGATTCTTGGAACGGAGGAGTTCTGGTGATGGTCTCTGGTTCTGTTAAAATCAAGGATTTCAATGGCAGAAGGAAATTTGTGCAAACCTTTTTCCTGGCTCCCCAATATAAGGGTTACTTTGTTCTTAACGATATCTTTCAGTTTATTGATGATGGAATAGTTTATCAACATCCAGCTTCAACTTTACAAGAACGCAAGCTTGATTCTAAACTAGATGTATCGATCCCTGTTGCAAAGCCACCAGGTACAGCGATCAAGCTTTTTCCTAACTTAGATCTGAATGCAGATAACTGGTTGGGGCCTTGGACTGTGTCCCCTCAACTTAAACAATGACCTTTTCTTGGAAATGTGTTGTACTTGGTAGTTGAATGACTAGTTTTATATCTTATACGGAATTTGAATCTTGTGACCTTTAGTTGATTTCTTATAGTTTTATTGCTTGAGGGATTGAAACCATAGACACCATTTTTCCTTTTTGGTTAATAAATTTCAGCATGTTAAGATTTTACTTAAAACTTATTGGTTTGGAAGTTCCCTCTTCTTTCTCTCTAGGATATAATTTTTGGTGTTTTATTATTTTCTAATTTTATGATTATAGAAGCTTGATTTCTTAGTTTTTCCTCCAACTTGTTGGATTTAGCAGTTTCTGACGAAGTTTTTGAGGAAGAGATCAGTAAGTATGTCAGCTCTGTTCTTATTGAAGATGATCCAGTTGAAAAATATAGTCCCCCAGAACAACCAGAACAAGATGTAGAAGATACTGTGCAAGAACGCCCGGCTACACCTTTGGAGGAACCTGTTGAGGAGCCTCCACGGAGAACTTATGCTTCAGTTGTAAGTGCTCCTATATTGCTTTTTCTGCAAACGTTCTGTTTACACGTGAGTGTGCATTTATTACCCTTTGTATTTAAGGTTTCTCACTCATTGCTTCCTATTTACTTGTTCAATCAGCTATACTTTTATTTAAACAAGCCATATGTATTTATCCTTAATGCAACCATCAAGTATCGTGGTGGCATTCATAACACTGGACTGTACGTTACTGAAGTAAGCCTATGCACGTAAAGAGTACCCTAAATGTATAAAGGTTTAATTACTTGAGGAAACAGAGCCTTGCATGTGAGTTATCTAATGGGAGTAAATTATTATAGGAATTCTACCCAACAAGCTCTGTTTCTACCTGATACCTACATACATTGATAAATGGTGTTTAGTTTGTTGAAAGTTAAATAACTTTGGTTGGTTGACAAACACTATTTGTTGTTACAATTGTTCTAGTTGGGTATTCCGAAGAGTCAATCTGCTTCATTTGTTCAAGTTCAACATTCTTATAACAAGATTCCCCCGAGTACTTCAGATTGGGACCATACAGCAGAGTGTACTAGTCAGCAGTCACGTCCTGCTTGTCCATATCTGCCTGAATCTGCAGCAGAGACAACCTCTGTTGGTATGTGTGTTTTTTTTTTTATATTAGCACTTGCAATACCATAGCTCTTGGTTCGTTGTTGTGCTTTGGAATTTATAAATTGCCTTTCTCTAGCCTTTTCTTTGGTTTCTGAAAAGGACATTTTTCAACTGGATCATCTGAGTATTTAATGTGAGCCCCTGCCATAAAAATATTGCTTTTACGAAGAGATATTAAGATTTTAGTGGCCGAGTGTTTTTGTATTTCCATTTTCAAAATACTTCCCTCTATATGTAGAGTTGAGAGAATATTTATATGCTCGCAGAGTACTTCAGAAATTGGAATTTAATCTGGTTATTGATGTTTCTCCATCTAGGTGAATACACTGGTGAATATAAATCTGTATATGTGGGGAACTTGCCTCCTACTGTTACTGCCACAGAAATTGAGCAGGTGTTTAAAAATTTTGGAAAAATCAAGCCCGACGGCGTGTTTGTCCGGAACCGCACGGTAATTTCTTCTTCTTTCCAGTTTTGATCTTTAGCATATAACCTTGAGGAAACTAAATTAGTGTTAGCTGCATGCAGGATGTTATTGGCGTTTGCTATGCTTTTGTTGAGTTTGAAGACCTCCTTTCTGTTCACAAGGCAATCAAGGTACGACTTATTGTGTTCTTTCCGTTAAGCAACTTTGTTGGATGGTTAACTATTAGCTTATCATTTGAATCTGTTTTAGTTTACTTTACTATCGATAGCTGAGCAACATCTCACTTTGCTTGCTAATAACTCATTGTTGAATCATGTATTCTATCTACTTGTTTGGTTTCTTGTGTTTCTGTAATGTTGAATTCACTTAGTAGAAAGAGATTTGAACTCTTTTAATATGACAACCTTGGAGTTTATATTGTTAGATCTATTTAGCTGCGCCTGTATACATGTGTGATGCTTTTATTCCGTTGCCCATGATGGATGAGATGGAGGTGACTACCAAATCCTTGAAAGTGCTTGTCGAGTGAATTGCAGGAAGGAGGGGGTTTTGAGAGGAAAAGATACTGTCCGTTTTCTTAAACCAACAACCGACCTATAGCGTCATCAACTGTTTAAACTTGAAACCCGTCACTGCACAAAGAAATCTTTAGATTCATGTGTACAATAGAAGCTCCTGGTGGAACGTTGAAGAAGGATACATTCACTTTTGCAGTCAATTTTTGAATATTTGCTGTAATGTTGAACCCTTTATAGTTTTTATTCGGCTTCTCTCTATTTATGTTGATCTAATACCGATCAATTTTTGTTCTTCAATAGGCATCTCCCATACAGTTTGCAGGAAGGCGAGTCTACATAGACGAGCGCAGACCAAATAGCAGCAGTTCTTGGTGGGAAGGAAGTATGTGTGTTTTAATGCGTACCGAAATCTTCTTTTATATTCTATAAAATGTTCTCATTATTGCACATTCTGGGTATCCTTGGAAAATCCACATCATCATCTATGATAGGACTGTTTCCAATATTGTAGCAAGTAGTGTTTGAAAACCTTGTTCATGGCACTGGCACTAAAAATGATCAGGAAGTGGAAGGGGCAGGGGCAGGGGCAGGGGCAGTTATCCAGCTGAATCCTCAAGAGGTCGAATTAGTTCTCGAAGTTTGGGGGTGGGGAAATGAGCAAGAATCTGGTGAGACTACAGGTCAAGAAGCAATTGGTTCTATCGACAAGTCATAATCTCCAGTTGGGAGGTACAATGTGTAATTTTGATTCTCCCTTGAATGCTTTTTGTTACGCGATGCAAGTGGAGAAATATTCTTTCTTCTTTTCAAAATGTTACGTGATTCAATGTTTTTAGATGTTACAGCCTCATATTGGATGTTCATTTCACTCGTAAATGTATCAACTTGGAACACAATAATACCCTTACAAGTAAATTATACATAAATATTAAAATTAAGTCTAGAAATTACATTAATCATTTTATATATATAGAAATGATAAATATAGTTTTTAAAATTATTTTTTAACCTTCAAAATTTTTTAATTTATAATATCAATCTAATAATATAATTATTTTTTGTGTTTGGAAGTTTTTTCCCAGCACATGCTAAAATAAAAGGTACATAACAGTCGATGAGCTGTCACGTTTTCATCTAACATTAATTTCGAACAATAAAATAGAAATAATATTTTGACAAATGAATAAAAAAACTAAACATCTAACTAAAATTTAAAAATAAAAGCATACCCACAAATATTTTTTATGATATATATATAATTTATTTAATAAGGAACACAACGTGAAAGCGAAGACTTTGAAGAGACGCAAGTCTGGAGCAATCAAGGACACCGACAAAGGTGCCAATTCTAATTAATGGAAAATGAAATGAGTTGCGTTACGTGGAACAAACATGGGGACCCGCGAATTTTGACAGTGGGGGAGAATAATTAAACGATGCCAACGAATTTGGAGATCATCATCAACCTCAGCATAGTTTCATCAAAGTTTTGCCTTTGTTGTTGGGATCAAAGGAGGAAATGTTTGGGTGCCGATGTTTCTTCAGGAAAACGACGGCTCAATTGGCGCCTTCCGAGCCTGAAACCTTCTCGCTTCCAGCCCCGCTTCCCCAATGGCCTCGAGGTACTCCCTTTTTTTTTCCTGGATGTTTGATTTTTTTTTTTAATTTTAAAAATGCGCTTTTGCAATTTGGGGTTTCTTAATTTCACGTATTATGCTAATGGGGCTGCTTACCTTTTAGGCTTCTCTTTGATTGATTTTTTTTCCTGGGCTTAAGTTCATCTTTTTGGTTCTCTCTGAATTTTTAGAAATCTTTTCCATTTTTAGTTATAGCTTGATCGCTGGGTGCTTCATCCACTGATGTTTATGTTTACATTTGTCACCAGTGTATTAAATATTACTAAAGTTGCCAATTTGTATCATTTATGAACTGCACCGAAACATATAATTAAGTAGGAGAAGCTTCTTGAAGAACAAGGGGGATTGGCATGCTAAGAGATCTTCATATACGATGTAGCTGTTCTGAACGAGTGTATTTATATGCTAATTTGCTATATTTGAAAGGCAATTTAGTGAAAGATTGTTGAATCTTAGTGAAGAGTCTTGTTATCAAGACATGTTTTGGTGCTCTTCCTGTTCTCCTTTTAAATGGTATGTATGTTTTGACAGCACAAAATACCGAGACCCATTCTTCGGAAATTATCCTTTAGAAAGAACTTTATCCCCCTTGACCTCTGCATCCCAACCCCACTGATGCTTTTATATAAGAGGCTTCTAAACTGTACCTTGTTTGAGCATGGATAGGACCTGCAGTAACGTACTCTGATTACTCTTTCATATCTGGTTAATAGGAACTTTAAATCTTCAAATCCTAGAACTGTTTCATTTGTAATTTTGTTTACTTTTCCTTGGTCTTTAACTGCTGCTTCTATCGTCTTTTTTTTTGTTTATTTTAATAGGCCAAGCTTGAATAAATTGTGTATGTTTCTGAAATATTATTTACTTTTCCAATCCTGATTCATGGTCTTCTTGTTAATAATTATTTTTGTTATGTGATTGTTACTCCTTTGACTATTGAAAATTGCTTAACAATGTATAGCATAAGCTCATAGTTCACACTAATTTCTCTTTCCACAGTAACTTTTGCACTTTCCTATAATTTTTTATTAGTTTGTCTTTGATTCATCATTTTTTATTGGACTCTCTTTCTATCAGCATGTTAGCTAGATATATTTGTAGGGTCTGGTTTTGAAACTTCGATGCTGATGTGGTTCGTAAATGCCACATAGTCCAGAGTAGAGGCCGATAAAATAAAATGTCTGAAGACTTTTTCCATTCAAGTCATAAGTTATTTGATGTGATGTGGTCTGGTTATCATTTTGAATTTGACTTATCATGTAAATGTCTTGATTGCCTGCCTCCACTTTCAGGTAAAGGATTTGCTTCGGGAAAAATAAATCTTGGAGAGCTTGAAGTCGTTAAAATCACAAGATTTAAGTTCATCTGGTGCAGCAATGCACAGGAGGAGAGAAAAGGTGTTACTTTTTATAAACCACTTGGAATACCTGAGGGATTTTCTAGCCTTGGGCATTATTGTCAATCTAATGGCCAGCCTTTTAGAGGCTTTGTTCTTGCTGCCCGGGAATTTTCTTCTGAATCAGAACCTGCTCGTTTCTCCACCCATGTTGCCTCACCATCTCTTAGAGAGCCTATTGACTATGCTTTAGTTTGGAGTTCCAATAATGGGAGTGAGGAAAGACTTGAAGGGTGTGGCTTCTTCTGGTTGCCTCAGCCTCCTGAGGGTTATAAGTCGATGGGTTATTTGGTCACTCGCTCTCCTAAAAAACCCAAATTAGATAAAGTGAGATGTGTTCGAGCAGACCTGACAGATAGATGTGAAAACTATCGAGTTATATTTAATGCTGGTGCTCGATTTTCAGAGTTCCCGTTTCAGGTGTGGAGCACGAGACCTTCTCATCGAGGGATGCTGGGTAGAGGTGTTTCTGTTGGGACTTTTTCTTGCAATAGCTGTTGGACACCCGGACAAGAACTGCCTATTGCCTGCTTGAAGAATTTAGATCCTAAACTACATGCAATGCCAAACTGTGATCAGATTCATGCACTAATAAACCACTACGGACCTACTCTCTTTTTCCATCCTTATGAGATCTACATGCCTTCTTCTGTTTCATGGTTTTTCGAGAATGGAGCACTTCTGTTCAGAAAGGGTGACTCGGTAGGCCAGTCGATTGATCTTGATGGGTCAAATCTACCGAGTGGTGGAAGAAACGATGGTGAATTTTGGATAGACTTGCCTATTGGTGATAGGAGAAATAATGTCAAATTAGGAAATTTAGAAAGCGCTAAACTATACATACATGTGAAGCCATCTCTCGGTGGGACTTTCACTGATATTGCTATGTGGATTTTCTGCCCCTTTAACGGGCCTGCAACTCTGAAAGTCGGTGTTATGAATTTTGCACTTAGCAAGGTTGGTCAGCATGTGTGTGATTGGGAGCATTTTACTCTCCGTATATGCAACTTTACCGGAAAGCTCTGGAGCATATACTTCTCTCAGCACAGTGGTGGTGTGTGGGTTAATGCTTATGATTTGGAGTACATACAAGGGAATAAAGCAATCGTTTACTCGTCAAAAAGCGGACACGCAAGCTTTCCTCACCCATGTACTTATATTCAGGGTTCTGCAAAACTAGGAATTGGGATTAGAAACGATGCTGCACGTAGTAATTTCTACGTTGATTCGAGTACTCATTATGAACTTGTAGCAGCCGAGTATCTTGGAGAAGGGGTTGTTTCTGAGCCTGGTTGGTTGCAGTTTATGAGAAAATGGGGTCCAAGTATTGTCTATGATTCTAGAACCGAGTTGGATAAAATTATCAGCATTTTGCCACTGATGCTTCAGTATTCTGTGGCAAACATTTTCGGTAAGCTTCCGATTGAACTCTATGGAGAGGAAGGTCCTACAGGGCCTAAGGAGAAGAACAATTGGGAAGGAGATGAAAGAGGCTAGTTTCCCGGTAGTCTCGGATCTAGACCAACTGTTTTCACCTATATCTGCAGCTGTCGTCTTCGTACAAATAATAAATTACAAGTTCATAGCAGGCACTTGTAATTGTTTTATATCTTTCTTTCTTGTATAAATATTGGATTTGATGGTGAGAGGCTTTGTTTGAAATGCTTCTAACTTTGTTAGTTACACATGGTTATGAGTATTGGATACGGATATGTTTAGTTTCATTTTTGGCATAATGATATAATTAGCCTCTAATTTTTGTACAAATGATATGAGCTCGATTCAATATTGACCCATATCAATAATGATTTAATCTGATATCGAACCCATTCATATTTACTATAAACTCGAATAATTTTTTTTGAAAATAAAAAATTATTATAAATAAAAGATAGAGGTTCACTCATTGTAGGGGTTCATTAAAAAACCTTTCTAATCCTATGGAGGAAAAAGAGTACCCAAGGCAATTACTAAAAGGGCCGCAGTCCCATCTAGGCATACAAAAAACACCCTTGTGAAAACCGTGAAACCACTCCACAACCAAAAACAACCAAGACAGGGGAGATCCAAAGTAGAAAAAAACTAAACTCTCTAGAAACTCAACTCGCACCCTTACATCCCCCAAAAAAAACAGACACCTCAACTCATGCTACCACAAAAATAACAACACCACCCCATGATCTTGAAAAATCCAATCCTCTCCCTAGGTAGGGGATGAAACAAAAGCCCGCTTCGCAAGTTGGTCGACTGTCTTATTGCACCTTCTAGGGATTTGCTTCACAACAAACTTCTCTCGAAGAACTGTCAAAGCAACATGCATATGATATGAGCCCATTCAGGAGGAGCAAGGGCAGGAGACTGTAGCCATTTCACCAATTTTGCGCAATCGCTTTTGATTATCAGCTCAAAAACCTTATACCAATTGGATCCCATAAACAATTTAATGGCTTGATCAAAAGCCAAAATCTCAGCTTAATTGAGGAACCGCAGTTAATTAGGACCGAGAAAGAAAGACGCAAAGTGCATCTCGTATTGCGAAGAATTCCACCAAAACATCTGCCACCACCATCTGCCCACATTGCACCATCTACATTAAATTTTAAACAACCTCTCAGAGGAGGGAGCTAAGATCGAGGTGAGATCCCCTCTATCTTCTTCTAACATGAGTCAACACCGAGTGACAAATCCGCTGCTAAAATTTTTAAACTTAACGAGGAGTCTGGATACTTAGCCTTCAGCCAACAAGAAACTCAATATTTGATAAGAAAAATTAATTGGAGCATATCAATCTTCTTCCCATTAAACACCAACTCATTCTTGTGCAACCAAATATACAATAAAACGGTGAAAGGCAAGGCACTCCAAATTATCCTTTGATGATGGTTAACTGGGAGAGCCTCGTTCCATCTTACCATGAACCTAAAAATATCAATCGAAATAACTTCCCAACACACCCCACAAAGCTAGAAAAGCTCCCCAGAATTGCCACGAAAACTGACATGAAAAGAACATGTGATTAACGGATTTCGGGGAGTTCAAGCATAACAGACAACTCAAATCTAACAAGTAACAACCTAACCCCTCTTCTTACAAGTTCAACCCTCACCGACACTTTTCAGTTAAGCACTTTCCAAACAAAAGCTTCCACTTTAAAGGGGCGATTCCCAACCAAATGAATTTCTTCCAATTAAACAAACAAGGCCCATTTGAATGATTAAGGAGTGAAGATGATTTAAATGAATCGAGACCATCGCTCGTATTGAACCATTTGACTTAGTCCGAGAAAGATGACGAGCTCACAAAACTGTTAAGCTCTCGAACCAGCACCTCATATTGCATTATATCTTAATAAAAACATCCCTTCTAAGGGAGACATTCTACCTACAACCATGATCGGTCTTTGATAACTCTTCAAAATAGTTATATTTTAGGATCTTTTCACCTAGGTTAAACTTGAACTTAAGCATTATTAGGAACATATTATGATCATTTGTATGTGTTTTTGCATCATTTGCATCTTGGGAGTTAGTTGAGAAACTTTTGACCTATTTTGATTTTATTACTGGAAACTGGTACACTAATGTTGTGACATTACTTAAAGCTGCAGATAACACTGTATTGAAACTACAACAACTGATGAGTCACCAGGCATTTATGGAAATCTTCTGAATATATAACTAGCGGGACATTTGTCAAATGGATGGAAATCACTTGAAACATGAAAAAATATTATTTGTTAATGGTTAAATTTCTTATCCTATAAATAAAAGGGGTATATTTCTCTCCAAATATTTTCTCCATGTATTTTATCTTCAATCATCCATGGTTTCTTAAACCCACCACTAGGGAGTGTTGCAGCAGCTTGGGGAGCTCTACCGTGTAACAACAACGATTAAGAAGATCTTATCCTGTTTATACTCGTGTTATTCGTTGAGGTAGTGAAGTAACAAAGTACATTTGGGGTGTGTTGTTAAACTTTCGGGATGTGATTTTGGTATTAAGCTTTAACATTTGTTTAAATGTTTTTGCTGTGATTTATGTTTAAACTTTATGTTTATGTGCTGCAATACTTTTAAGATAATTTTAGAAATGAAATTATCTTCATGTATGTCTTATTGACGATGATTGAAAATGAATATTATTAATATTTCATGCTACTTATGTTCCACATTGGTTTTGATGAGAAGCAATTTTGCATATTGAGATGTATGCTGCCAATAATCCTACATTTTTAATTGTTTAATTACTTGAATGAATGAAGGTTGATTCTTATTAGTTATATGTTATTAATCTTTTCTAAATACAAAAATGTATAGGTGCATGCATAGTTATGGTAAGCGACAAATTATCTTCCTAACCCATTTGATTCTTGACTTAATGCTCTCTAGGGGTGGGAATAGGCCAGGCCATGCTAGACTTTAAAAGGCCTGAGCCTGGCCTACGATGAATTTTTTAGGCTTGAGCCTGGCCTATAGCCTATCAAAGGCTTTTATTTTGGCTCGGCCTGGCCTGATAGCCTTTTTAAAATCCTTTTTAAAACTTTCTCTTGGATGCATTATTACTGGTACCTTACCAATGAATTGTAATGGTTTCCTCATATTGTTGTTTTCCAGGTGCCAGAGCATGGGTCTCGTAGAGCAAGGCATGGGCAGATATGGGTACAATGTGGGTCTTGCTTGGGGTGCTGGAATTGGCAAGAACAATGCAGCTCAATTAATTAGTTGTTGGTGTTCTTCACGTGGGAGCATGGGTGGCTGGATGGGGAGTTGAACCTTTGTCTGCTCGTGGGTGGTGCTTGGGCAGCAGGGTGTGGCCTTTTTGTATTTTAAAATAATTTTTGTAATATATTTTTTTGGGTAAAAAATTCGTGCGTATAGTATATACATATATATAGGCCGACCTATCAGGCTTATAAGGCTTTTTAATAAGCCTAAGTCTGGTCTATTTAATTTAATAGGCTTTTAAAAAAGCCCGAGCCTAACCTTTTTATTAAATAGGCTAGTCCAGGCCAGGATTTATGTAGGTGTTTGCGTGTTGTGAGTACTATAAAATTATACGAAAATAATGTGCAAGTATACATAATCGCTGAAGTAATAAAGTGATGAGTGAGTATCGTCTCCACAGGGATTGGGTGAAATTACAAAAGTCTAACCCAAAGCAATGCACTATTGTATCTATGTATAGTTAGTCTTAATATATACAAATATCACGGCAAATAAAAAATGTATAAAAGTGGATGTGGATGAATGGTCTGATGGTGTAGTGAATGGAAATGCAGTGGCAAGAACATATGTTTAGTGTTGAAAATGGTGTAATGTCGAGGCAATAAGAAATGGTAAAAACAGTAAATAAATAGAAAATAAAATGATAAGAAGATAATCCTCACGTGACAAGCTTCCAATGGAATGAATGGTAGGGATTGATTTAAGGATGCTAAACTTATCTCTCAGGAAGATTTATGCTATCTAATCTTTGCTTACTCGACAGGGTTTTCCTAGAGTGTTCCCGCTATCTCTAGTAAAAGGAACCTAACAGAATAGGATGCCAAGACATATGCTCTCACTCAACGAAGCTGGAAGCCTACATTATTCATAAAAACACCCTTTTTAATTGTTGAAATCCTATCCTAGTCACTCTCGAGTACTAAGGGATTAGGATATAGTACTCCTAGGCCGGTTCAAAACCCTGGAAAACACTATAGCCCATTGCTTATGAGGATTTTGTCTTGTGTTTCTCTCGAATACCACAAGTATTTTTAGATTAGGTTTCTCTCGAACACCTAACCTTCATATAAGAAATGGACACTCTCATGCCTCTTACAAGCTTAGATGGTGAAGTATTCATAAGAAAAGCAAACATATAACTAAGATAAACATAAATCAACCATTAAAAATAAAGTTTAAACAACCATTAAACCAACCACCACCAAATAAGTTAGTTCATGGTGGGGATCGAAATATCCACAAAATAAATCATGAAAATATTCGTTCCAACAACCCAAGAATAATATAAAAATAACAACAAAAGGGAAGTGAGAAGAAGCCTTCGACGCGCGCTACCAGAGGTCTCTTCGACCACCACGAACCACCTTAGCTCGCTAGCTCTTCTCGGATGCCTAGCTCGCCACTCCTTGGAGCTTTATCAATGTAGGAAAACCCAAGGAAGAAGAAAGGAAAAGGAAAAATAAAAATATGATTTTTCTGCTCTATGTGTATGCGTGTGCGTGTGCGTATGCCTCCTCTCTCATTCTCTCCAATGAGGTGTCGTATATAATAAAAAATATCTAGGGGTAATGATTAGGTTGTTGGGGGAAAAATACCCCTCATACCCCTAGAATCACACTATAAGCGTGAACCTTATCCTCCAGGTGGCAGTGGTCCTCTGGCAGGCAGTTACAACAATTATTTCACGTGCAGAGCCAGTTGTCCTTGTACAACTGTATCTTTTTGTCATTTTCTGCGCCAGAAATGCCAAGGCATTTCAATATGTTTCAGCAACGTTTGATGTCGCGATATTACTTCCCAAAGAGTCCTTTTTATGTTATTCCCTACACACCACAAACGACTGCACCTTTCTCTCATGCAACACCATTAAAAAATAAAACAACAATACCACCACAAATGCAACTATATGAAACTACATGATCCTAAGATGACTA